TCATGGACAAGATCTAAGATGACCGCCTTTGATGGTAATGGTTGCGAGCATCTGCTTTGGAAATTATCTTGAAGAGCTCGAGGATACCAGTCGGCTAGCCTCCATCGACTGCCATTTCTCTGAGCGACATGGCGCCATGCATTATTACCCGTCTTGCTTTCAAGCCAGCCCACACCCTCAGGGGAAACAATCGAAAAATGAGAGGATGCACCTGGGCGTAGTCGGTAGAATCAGCAGCCATTCGTGCGACCATTGAGGAACGATAGTCGGTGAGCCAGTACTAACCAAAAAAGCGCATTGCGCCTTTCGGAGTTTTGAGGGTATATGACCCTCCGTCGCCATCGCCTCGATCGGCCTCGGCCTCAAAAGATGCTTGAGCGGTGCCATTTCTCGGAGATGGCAACTCTGAATCAGATGCTTCTGAGGGTTGAACATGCTCTGGGCCTGTGTCTTCGTCACTCGGCAGTCGCCGTCTCTTGGACGCATGTGCTTCATTCAATTCGTCTTGTAAAGACTGAATGCGCTGCTCTAGCTCATGAATATTTTCCCCGCTGTGAGCGAGCGATTGAGTGAGTGAATATGCGTTAATTTAAAAGACCCAACAAGCAAAGTAGAACATACCGGTTGTGCTTTTTCTTGCGTCGCACGGTGTCTTCGTACTTGCAGGGTAAGTCGAATGTTCTGCAGGGGACACAGACCGGCCGAGTCCCATCACATTTGACCTTCTTCCGTCTGCATATACTGCAAGCCTTTGTAGCGTATGCAGGTCAGCGTCCAACCAAGTCATTCCCTCAATACATGGAGGTCATAGGGGCCATGGGGGCCATCTGGGGGCAAGTCTATACCTTGGCAAGGCGTACAACGTCGCTGGTATTCCCATCCATGATGCAAAATGATTGTATAGTAGCACTAGAATTTTCTCAGAATTGCAATCCCTGCGCGGCTCCAACCATCATGATTAACAATTACAGGCCGAGGCAACATGAGGTTTCCGGCTGAGATTCAGGCGTTAAGGTGTGGAGGCGTTAAGGCATCAATAATGTGTCATCATTGATGCCTCGGGCAGAACTGTTTATACTAAATCGGATTTGACACTTCCCATAGGTAGTCCGCTCCGAATCACAGCGTGTGATTCCAGTAGATTGTGTGGTTAAAACTTCTAATTATGTTTACTCACCGCGGGATATCCATCGGGGAGGATTGACGGCCTGCCGAAGAAGTGGCCTAGAACATTCACCTTGGCATTCTGGAAGACTTACAACTTTCTAAACCGGTCTGCATAGTGAAATGACGTCTTTTTTTTTAAAGCTGTGAATCTAGACTTCATTTTTCTGATCAGCTCTATTGCAATCCTATCTGTAGATTTCAAATGGGTATTCTACATGGAATTCAGTGCTATAGTAAGTAGGTCGACCAGAGAACTAGAGCAGAGACCATGATATCACCGAGTTAGATTAGACCATCAATAGCATAATATGAACCATTTGAATCATTTGATTCGAATTGGGTGATCCTGTACACCTTGTACTCCCCTAACACAGGTTCCGTCAATGTACTTTGATCCTTGTGTATCAGGAATAGTTCAAGCTCGCGAAATATATCCATGGTGCGAACCTCGTCACTAAATTAATAGAACTAGCTATCCTGAAAAAAAACTATTTACTCAAAGCCATGGCGATGCAACGGGATGTTACTCTGTATAACAACCCAATCTAGCCACAGCAAATAGCCGCGAACCATAATCGAGCCTAAATGCATAGCTGATAGAATGATTGCTCATTGACCGCCACGACTATTGGAATATTGTTGCACAATTCAGCTGTGTCTTGGGTATCTGTTTGCACCACCGTTGCTCTACCTCCGGTGAATGGCTGTGGTTCAGGTTGTCACACTATTGTTTGCATCACAGACTGGGCCTTCAAGACCAAGGTTACACTCTCTTTAGGAATTATATTCAAAGGCAATGTAACCGTAAAACAGGAGCACTTCTGTCAGCCAACCTGAGACATATATCGATCATTGAAAAACAATGAAGCTATGGCGAAGACAAGCTTGTTGAATCTATTGGCTGACTTCGAGCTTGTCGCGTTGTTGCCGTTCATGTTGTTCCAAACGCCTCATTTCCAAGGAGTAAACATGGTTGCAATAACATGTCATTAATGCAACCTGTGGCTGGATTATATGCCCTTACCCGGTTAATTTGCAGGTACAGTACTTCCCAAGTCGTATGAATTTGTCCGACGAGGCAAAAGATCACTCCAGACACTCGAACTTCAGCAACTCCCAGATATAAAAGCAACAAACCATTCCTTTTAAGCATTCTTCTTTCTATCAAAAAAAAACCCATCTTCATTGCCAGCCTCCAGCCATATAACCAACAAGTTTAAGCGTGCCTCGAAAGCCCGCAATGGTTGCCATCGGTATCCGATCTCTCCTCTGCATTCTGAGAATTGTTTCCCTTGGCACATCTGCCGCTGTCGATGCCGATGCCGTCCAAGGCTGGCAGTTGACCCAATACTGTGAGCTGAGCTAAGATAAAGCCCCGCTATCCCAAGCTAGTCTGATGCAGAATTAGGCAACGAGTTCTATACTGTCAGTAATGGAGATACCTGCTGGGATATCATCGCGCGAAACCAGAACAGGTTCACCATGAGCCAGCTTCTATGCTGGAACGATGACATCAACCCGTGGTGCTCAAATCTGATCCCGGGCCGACAGGTCTGCGTTGGAGTCCAGCGTCCTGGGCCTGTCTGCTAGATAATGAAGTTCATGGCTGGATTGCTGGAATTATAATTCGAAAAACCAAATGCTTGACATCGCCGAGGCCTTTAATCAAATTGTTTGATGGAAGTAATGAGAGAGTGAATTTTGAGCTCTGAATATTTTTGCATTGTTATTACAGATAGTCATTCATTAAATCGAAATTCTGAAACTTGTTGGTATTGAGAAATTTATGCTCCGTTTTTGTTCCAGGCATTATGTAGGAATTGTCTCATTGTAATTGGCTTCACCTCCGGGAACCGAGTATTGAGACGATCGCCCGGCAATTGAAAGACATTGTTGACTGTGAGTCTGCTCACCAACGCAGTGACTTCTTTGAGTTCGTCCGATGAGGACTCAATTCCCTCTGGCTGCGGAGGGACGGTGACATCACCAGTCTTGATTTGCTCCAGACTATCGTATGTTACCTTGAATTTCTTGCCTATTTCAGAAATTATTATTAGGTTATGGGTTTTCCTCAAACAAGGACGTGCGATATGCTTACCGGTGAATTCTTCCGCCATGCTGAGAACCTGGTTGTAGGTAACTTCATCTCCAACGATTACAGTGAATTCAGGCCATTCATCAAGATCCAATGCTTTGACTAGGTAAGTAGCCATGTCGTACGTATATGTCATACAGATCACGTTGTTCCCGTCTCCTGGGATAGCAGCCGTGCCGCTGGATATATCAATACCAAAGGCGAAGGGCTGCAGGTGAGTTTGGACATGGGGCATTCCCCAATAGTCCATAAAGAAACCAGGGATTACCCTGGTATATTGTAAGCCACTAGCCTTGAGACGATCTGCTGCATCAAGCCAGTATTGGATGCTAGGGTCAATCGGGAGTAACCTTAGAAGATTATATGTCAGCATGGAATGTTATACCACTGAAGCTGGCTGGCCTACTCGGTGGTTTGGACGAATGAGTATTCACTAGGGATGAATCTTTTCGTTGATGATGACTTGTCTGCAGCTTCGATTAAGTTCAACTGAGACTGACTCGTCTCATCAGAAACAAGACCAATGGCGGATATGATGGTGTGGATGTTGTGTTGCTCAAGCACACGTGCCATTGATGGAATATCCTCGTAGTTGATCTGCACATTTTGAATATTCTGCGAAGAAAGGTCCTGTTTTACCTGAGAAGAAGGTCAGTTACTTTCTCAAGTGGAGAATGTCTCTACTTAACATACACTGCGAGATAAAACGACAACGTCAAATTTAGAATCGAGCAATTTTTCAACAATAGTTTTGCCCACTCCACCAGTTCCACCAGCTACAGCAATGACCGTCATGATTGAGAAATGTTTGATAGTCGAAATAGTCGAATAGTTGAAGTTGCCACGGAAGAGGTCCCCGCGATAACCCCACTAAAGCAGATTTCCACACATTTACTACATCTACTTCCACTGTAGAGTCTACAATGTATAATAAACTGTTTATCTATTTCAAGTACCTAATCTGCATATTGCCAAATTCCAATCAAATCTCTCTAAACAGCACACATCGGGGATTCGGGATCCAGACATCGGCGACTTCAAGGCTTCCCCCGGGCCCCCGCGGTCACGGCTATGACTAATATCGGAAGGAAAAGAATATAAAAGCCATATCTCCCGACCTTTCCACTTCAGCGATCTTCCCTCTAAAACCAATATACAAATCCTATATCATCATGTGTATGAAGGCTACCTGCTCGACCTGCCGTGAGTTTCTACTATCTCTCTTTTCAAAGCAGCATCTAATCATTATTACAGACAAGGTCACCTGGTGGGGCTGTGGAAGCCATATCCCTTCAGTCATGGATTCAATTCCCGAAGGCGATTGGTGTGCCTGCACACCTCAAGTTGAGAAGGATGGGAAGAAGTACCCTCCCAAGGCGGCGAAGGCCGGCTGACTACAAGGCTGTGTGATTTGTTAGCCTGAGGAAGTGAGAGTCGCATGTTTTTTGACAGAAAGAGCGTTTTGAGGGAGTTGTTATCAGGGAATCCTGGTGGATCTGTTGAACATTCAGCCGGGAGGGGGTTAGGGAGCGGTGGCGTTAATAGAGTTCTGGGAACGAATGTGGGATTCTATCATGTCAATTGGAGCAGATATATAACGACAGTATAACGAAAGACAAAACCTAAATCCAAATAGGTTTAATATAAAATCCAAGGAGAACCACACAGTATCCAACCACGAAGAGAGCAAGTAATAAGCAAACAGCCGAATCGATTACAGATACCAAAACACTCGACATTAGGGGGTTTTCCCTTTTCCCTTTTTTCTACCTTTCTTCGATGGTTCCTTCGCTGGTAGTGGTATTGGGGGTGGCTGCACCGGTAATGGTCTCGTGAGCTTATGCTGTTCTAGTAGGAAACGGGGTGGTTCTCCACCATCCGGAGCTGCAGGAGTGGTAGACACAAATGGCGGTCCTGCTGGCACAAAGCCGTCTGCGAGGGCTGGAAGCTTCCTGAGCTCCTTCTTGTTATTACAAACATAGAGATGCCCCTGTCCATCTGGGCATGTTGCAGTGTAGAGCGCAAATCGCAGGAAAGGTCCGGAAAGAATTGTTCCAAAGTGATCGCCCAGCCTAGATGGGAGGACACAGGCCTGTATTCTCATCCAGTGGCACAAAGGCGCATTGTTGATGTCAACCAGCCGGACGTCAACTTCCACAACCTTGTGACAAGTCGTGGAGCCAGGGATGTCCATGAGATTATAGCCATGAACTGGAACAGGGATACCGAGGGACTCCAACTGGTCGATATAGCATTCAGGTACCGCCATGAGATCGGCACCAGTATCATGGCACACCCATAGGGTGAGGCCATTGGCACCAATACGTTGGCTGTCAGCCGATATATTTACCGGGAACTATGTAAAAAGCAAGAGAATAAAGTCAGGAAGAAGAAATAATAAGTTGAGATATCAATATAGACACTATACCTCAACTGAGTGAAGACTGGTATTCGGTGCAAATGAGTGAAACCCTCCAAGACTGGCTCCACCGGGTGGTTGAAGCTATATATTCCATCTCGAGTCAGAAACCAAGGATAATGCTTGCATGTAGTGGTGATCAACTTACACCTTCCACCCACCACGCTTTATTGGTATCGTACTCCCCAGCCAGTTTTTTATGACGATCCGCGTCGAACTTCTGGGGGGTATTGACTTGCACGCCCTTCGACCAGTAGCTGACCCATCCTCTCGACCATCCCAATTTGCGTTGCCTGTAAGCTTTGATGATAGCCTTGACATTAGGAAGCTGATTATCCGGGTCCCCATTCGTGCTGAGATACTTGTCGATGTTCTTCAAGTGCTCCAAACGTCGAACAATGTCCCAGCTGAGTCCAGCCGGTTCAGAATGGACCATTTCATCGCGAGCGGCCCTTCTTCTCTCGTACTGTGACAGTCTGAACTTGAAGAAATTAGGTAAGATTCCATCACTGATCCTCTCTAGGCATCTTTCGACTTGACTATCGATGTCGTTGACGTCGAGATCTAACTCGTCGGCGTTCCAGCCTTCCGGGACAAGAGCTGGATCGGTGATAGGTTGGTCCCCATTGTGTTTCCATCGCTGTTGTCTCGGGGGACGTGAATGGCCCTCATCCTGACCACCTTGAGCCATCAAGCTGTAGTCAACATAGTCGTGGGCCCCTGGCGCGAGCGGCAAATCATTTTCAAGCCCATCTGACGAGAAATCAGAGGGAGAAGGAGAAACCTCCGTTCTACCGTTGATCGGTTTGCGCTTCTTGGTAGATTCCTCGGGGTCCACAGGGGGCTCTGAGTACGCACGCTTCGTGCTGCGGCTAGGAGGCATCTTGAAGAAGGAGGAGATAAATTTTGCGGCGCCGCAGGAGAGGGCCGGGCAATTTGGTATGAACAAGAAGCATTGAGATGGGGATATAGATGAAGATATTTGTAGTGAACATCTTGGGGAACTGAATTAGACCGGAACAAAGGACCACGATGAATTGAAATGACCTATGGAGTAGTGGTCTCTGGCATTTTGGTGTAGATAGAAACGAATTGATCGATGGAGCCATTTCCAAAGATACTATTTTTGGATTTCCAAAAGCTCATGTGCTAGACGACAAAGAAGACTAAAGAGTAACTTAAGGATCTCGGGCGTGCAACTCATCAATGGAAATTGCTCGAGGATGAAATGTGTTCTCTCTAGAATCCAGACCTTGGGGTTGCCTTGACGTTCTTTGTCTCATCTCAATGTACCCGTAACTCCCATCCAAGATGGAAGGCTCGAATCAAAGATGTCAAAGGATCAGGCGTCTTTGCCAAAGCATACTAGGGCAAATAAGCAAAGCGCACATGACTAGGGTTGTCGTTATAGTCTGGTATAGCGTAACCCTTTTGAGCTTCTCGCTCAGAGTTGTGGGGGACTTGCGCAGTCTCTTCGATCTTCGGCGTTTTGGTCAGCCATTGGAGCAATGATACCTATAGGAAGAATATACTCAACAGTCCGTGCAATTTTTCAAGCGAAGTGAGATAGTTGAGGCTTGTTAGAGGCTTACAAGCACCGAGCCAGTAGTAATGAATGTAAAATCCTGGAGGGTCACAACAGAGTCTATCACTTCTTTGTCTCAACCCAGAGCATCATTTAAGATGTTAGTGGTATAAAAGAACCAGTGACAAAGAAACTAGAAACCAGGTTTTATGTTAGTTAACAGCCCACTTGTATGTTCGAAGGTACGATACATGAGGAAACTAGTCAATGAACTTCAGGAAAATACTCTATAATGCCGACGGAGAAAAGAGAAGATGGGCCCCAAGATGGAAAATGTGGTCACTAGTTTCTTTCATATTGTAGGGACACTGAGTCAATGGGCTGAGAGACCTGGCTATACCCCCCGGGGTGTGAACTTGCCTCGTCTCCAAGATTCTCACAAAGCATCTATGCCCAAAAAATCAGGCTATATCTCCAATGTGTGCTTGTCAGTGAAGTGGACTTTGCGGGAAAGAACGACTCTGACTGCTATCAAGTATTTAGCAGATACTTCCTACAGCATACAAAACATTACAAACACCTCGCACACCAGAGCAAAAAACTAATCCATAAGCCGTCAATTTCTAACCAGTATGCACCTTGATTCTTTCTCGATCGTTTCCATACGTGAATATCATGTAGATCAATCACAAAAAAAGCGCAGAAACGGGGCAATTTTTCCGACCTAAAAAACAAGGAACGGTCGTACTAACACGAAGGGGATGACAGGAGTAAAAAAGAAACCGTGAAGAAAGGGGGAAAATAAAAGAGAAAGAACATGCCATTACATCAGAATCTAAGCCTTAATCGCTGCGCCCAATGCACCACCACCGAACTGCTGGCCACCAGGTCGGCGATCGCCCTGGGGAATGCGAGCACCGCCACGACCACCGCCACGACCGCGACCACCGCGGCCGCCACGGGCACCGGGACCGTGTTCGCGCTGGAAGGCATTGGCCATACCCTGAGTGCGCTGTTCGAGGGTCTTCTCGTTGGACTCGAGAAGGCTGGTAGACTTGTCGGCCAGGGTGACAATCTGGGACTGGAGACGGGAGAGCTCGACGCCCTTGCGGAAGATAATGGCGTCGTTGACCTGGTCGAGAGCGGCGGCGAGCTCTTCGTGCGAGATCATGCGGGAGATGATGGAGACAATCTTCTTGGGCTCGAGTTCGAACATGGTGGCCAGAGAAGAGATGGAGAGGCTGTCGTAGTAAGGGGCGTAGGTGAAGAGGTAGGTGCGCAGACCCTCCTCTTGGGTCTGGCGGGACAGCATGGCCTTGATCAACTCGGGCTGGGGCATGAGGTCCCAGATCTTAATCGCGGCGAATGTAGAGGCGGAGAGCTTCCAGTCACCAGCAGCAAGAGCCTTGGCACCAGCAATAACACCGTCGCGGGTGTTCTCGGGGGGGACCAGTGAAGACCTGGCGCTCATTGTAGTCCAACATGCGGCGGAAGGTCTTGGAGATCATGCGGCGGCGCAGCTCGGGGGTGGAGGAGGTCTGGGCCATCAGAGGTACCTCAAGCAAAGCACTGCTGGTGAGGTAAACGCACTCAAGCAACTCGAGGTTGATGTGCATGTGGAAGGGCAGCTGGCGCTGGCGTTCCAGACGCTCCTGCTCGGGCGAGACAGTGGAGTAACGCTGCATGATGATACCCTGCGCAAGAAGCTCCTTTTGGCGGCCGCTGCCGCAGATCTCACCAAGGGTGTTCTGGGCCTCGTAGATGAGACCAGCACGGAAGGCACAGAGACCGATCTGAACAAGGGTGCGGTTGAAGAGGATCTGGGTGCTGACGTCGAAAGTGGCGATGTTTTCAGTCAGATGAGACATGAGCATCAAATCACGGGACTTGTAGTATTGGTCGTGCAGAGCAAGGAAGTAAATTTGGCAGAGCATGGCGCGAGCGCGGGGAATGCCATCGCTGTGTTCGAACAAGTAGTTGCAAATAGAGGCCACGAGGCTCTGGATATCCCCAGACTTATAGGTAGCAGTGACTGCTGACTTGATATTTGTGGGAACTGCCTTGTCCTTGGCCTGCTCGACAATGGCAATGACATTAGCGGGCTTGAAGTAAATGTGCTCCAACCGTCTGATAACCAGTCTGTTCATGCTGTCCTGGCCATTCTTATCGGCACCCTTGAGACTCTCAACGTAAAGCTGCGAGCGAACCAGGGAGGAGTAAAGTGCCTGCTCATCTGTCAGGCGCTCGATGTACTCTGAGGTGTGGGGGTCAATCTCGCGGAGACCCTTTGTGAGGCTGTCGTCGAGGTGCTCCACAAGGGATACGACGGATCCGGGAATGAAGAAGGTCTCGCCTTCAGCAACAGTAGGTTGCTTCTCATCATCCTCCCACTCATCGGCGACTTCGCTGACAAGGAATTGGCGGTTCTCTTCCAACACGGAAAGGAGAGCAGAGTATTCCTCGTTTGCGGCTTGCCATTGCTCACTTGACATGTAGGTGGCGTTGGATGTGGCAGTAAGATCGAAGCGGGTGGAGATCAGGGTCATGTAGGTGCGGATGCGTTGGTAAGGAGTAGTGGCAACCTCGAGGAGCTTCTGCATGGTGCGGATCTGGTCGGCACGGTCGGTGTTCTTCTTTCCGCGGGACTCAACGATAACACGGAGGTGCTTGAGGATGCTCTCGGGGGTGTACTGGAGGGTCTTACCACCACGTCCGACAGTAGCGAATCCATCGTCCTCACCAGCAGCAGCAGCGGCGGCAGCAGCGAAGTTCTCGATCTTCTCGATCTTGGTAGGCTTGGGGGCAGGGGGGAGGGGCGGGGGCAGCCTCAACCTGATCCGCCATGAAGGCATCCTTGTCGGCGCGGTATTTCTCGACCAGGGTGGCGTATTCCTTGTTGTTCTTCTTAATCTTCTGCTTGACCGCGTTGAAGCCCTTGCTGTTGCTAGCGTTCATCTTCTTGTTCGAGGCCTTCTGCTTGGAAGCAGTCTCGTTGGTGAAGTCTTCGAGTTCCGCGACGGCCTGGATGTAGACCTTGGGGGTGGGACCAGTAACCTTCAGCATCTGGCGGTTCAGGTTGTCGAACTCTGTGTGGGAATCATGTTAGTTGATGCCGTTCCTTCAGCCCTCCAATTTTTCTGGCTCTCTAGTTCCCCCGGGAAGCGTGCGGACTCACCAGTAGCAATAACGGCCCAGTCGTTGATCTTCTGGGCGTTATCAATCAGGCGGATGGTGCTCTCGATGCCCTCGAGACGCTTGTCCTTAGCGGACTTCACGATTGTAACCTTCTCCTCCTCCTCACTCTCATCGCTTTCGGAGTCATCGTGCAAGAACTTGGAGGCACCGGTGCGGCCCTCCTCGCCATCACTGTCGCTGTCGCTGCTGGAACCGGAGTCGGAGTCATCAACGTCAGAATCTTCCTCGCTGCCGGAGCCGGATTGGTAGACCTCCTCCTCCTCATCAGACGAGCTGTCGCTGTCACTGCCGCTGCCGTAAAAGAAACGCGACGCCATGGTTGCGGATTGCGGTTTCGTTAAAAGGAAATGGCGATCCTTAAAGCTGGAAAATCAGGTCGTCGGCGATACAAAGTCGAAGTTCCCGCAGTTGAGAGCCACACACGAAATTTAAGCGAGGGGCTGACTAAACCCGATTAGGCATAGCGCATAACAAAGAAATAGTGACGGGCTTTTTTTATACTTCCCTTACTGCTTTGACTTGTTTCGACTCATTGGATTTGATGGCTTGGACTATTTGTTGACTTTGAATTTAGTACGGAGAGACCAGGAAAAGAAGGTTGTCTAACTCAAGCTGCTTTGGAATCGGGAAATTTCCTCTCATCTACCTTATACTGGGATGGAAAGCCTGACCGATCAGGCACCGGCAGGCACAGAAGAAATGAAACTCTGGAAGCTGCACTCATTAACTCATTACTATTGTTCCATTTATCATTCGATTATTAACTCTACTATTTACTGCATGCAGAAAACAGAACGAGAAGTCCCCTGAAAGAAATAACACGCCATGATATACGACCGGAAAACCTACCTTGACGAAAAGAAAGAAAGATAGAAAGAAAAAAAAAAAAAAACAGGTCGACCAACATCCCCGGCAAGATCCGAATTAATTGAAACAGTTACGAGGAGTTATAAAACAAGAAATGGATGAGATCGTTCTTTCATGCTCCATCCAGGCTATGCTGAGAGAGAAAATTCACGAGAAAAAAAAAAGGCAGACAGATATACCGAAGCACTGCCTACAGAAATTGCAGAAACATAATTGGGATCGTAACACAGCAAGAAACGTAATGAAACGCAATGAAATAGTGATGATGCGGGGAGTGATATCTCGCGGCGAAGGATATGGCCACTGATGGGCACAACTCATGGCGAGTAAGCGTGCGGATCGATCTAGCGCTGGGTAGCAATGCAGATCGTATATCAGCGGTCCGAGACCATTATCAACCGCGTTGACCCACTGAAGGGCTCTTTTTTCTTGACTCATACCTACAAGAGCCGGCCATATAAGAACAGGTTGGCTGGCAAGGAATGGATCAGCAGAGCAAGGCTTACAAACACAGTGTCTCGGGGGACATTGTCACCCGTGGACAAAATATATCAGTGTGCCTGCTCCCGAGTCGTAGAGAACCATGGGCACAGGAAATGCCCTGTTATCCCGATGTCCTAGTGCCACTGGTTCTGGCCTATGTATCCTTCGCTGAGCACCCCGTCTTCGAGAGTGCGAATGAAATCCCGGTTGCGTTGGTTCCCGTTTCCATTGCCCGCTCGGCTCCCACGACGCCGTTGACTGGCGTTAGCATCGACGTACCCGTCAGGAGGAGGTGGATAGTACGCAGGGCTGGGCTGCAATCGAATCGGTGCGTTCGGATCCAGGTGGCTAGCGACTCGTTGGATGGTAGTTGGGATTCCTCCGTTGGGATCCATGGTAGATGCTCGTTGACGGCCTGCTCGCGTAGTCGCCTGTGCGTAGAGACTTTGAGGGGGTACCTGGTTGCCTGGCATCATTCCCATTTGGTGACCGTAGCCAGGTGGCTGCTGGGTAGGGTATGGAGGAGGCGGTGCACCTTGTTGGTACATGCCATTGTACATGGGCGGGGCTTGAGGTGGAGGCTGAGGTGGAGTATGGAATTGGTTCATCTGCACGGCATAGGCATTTTGCGCATGCGCCGCCTGAGCTGCTCTTTGTTTGCTAGCAGCTTCGGCCTGCTGTTGCTGTTGAACCCCCGGAGCTGGCTTATTGGCCGTCGAATACTTGAGATTCATTGGTGGCATGAATGGCCCAGTGAACTTCTGCTGGGTGATGAACGGGTGCAGCTTGGCTTGTTGAGGTGACCATCTCTCGAGAGGGTTGATTGACAGGAGTCCCCGCACAAAGTCGATGAAAGCAATCCGATTGTTCAGTTCTGCAATGGTTAGCCAAGTCTCAGGGTGAATATAGAAAATAAAACCTACCTCGATCGACCTCTGCTTGTTTCATGTTCTTCCGTGGCATTGGGTAACTTCGGATAATCTCCTCCAGTGTTGAGGCCGAGAAATACTTCTTGCTTGGTTGTTCCTTCGTGTTATGTTCTCGGGAATACTGCTCCAGGCTCTTGAGGCGGTACGTCTTTCTTCCAAACTCGTCCTGTGTCTTTTCGAAAAATTCTCCCGACTGTTTGCCCATCTCCAGCATCCATGTTGGCGGGATACCTAGCATCTCAACGATCCGACAAACTTGATTGTATTCCGAAGAGCCGGGGAACAGAGGTAGGCCCAAAAAGAGTTCCACCACGATACACCCAAGAGACCACATGTCAATGGCAGATGAGTACCTAAGAACACAAATCAGCAAGGAACAAAACAGATGAGACTAAAGTACGTACGGCAAACCCAATAGGACTTCTGGAGATCGGTAAAATCGCGATTGAATATAAGTGTAGACAGTCTGGCGTTCATCGCATGCAGAGCCAAAGTCGATGACCTTGATAATCGGGCTCTCGAGGCTGTGAATAGTTAGCTACTGACTATGAAAGCTGACCGGCGATACTGACTTTTTCAGGAGAATATTCTCTGGCTTCAGATCACAGTGAATCAGATGCGCTTTGTTCAACAAGCTCAAGGCATTTAGCAATTGCTGGGCAAACACCCGGACAAGGGTAGTGCTCAATCCACGGAATTGATTTTGTTTGATCAACTCATAAAGGTTGACACTGAGCAATTCAAATGCGAGACACAAATGCTGACGGTGGATGAATGTGTCCTTGAGACGAAGCAGATGGTGGTCATCGTTCTTGTCATATTTGCTGTTGAGCTGCAGGGAATCAGCGGGGGTTCAAATGAGAAGGGTTGGGGATATATGCGATACCAGATCCAACACAGAAACTTCCATCATACTCTGGTTGAAGTAAGCAGTCTTGTTCTTGATAACTTTGACAGCCACCACTTCTCCCGTTTTCAAGTTTTGGCATTTCACGACTTGGCCGAAGGTACCCTGACCTAGAACATCGAGAATGAGGTATCTATTTCTAGATCGGAAGGGGAAATTATTGTCAGCCCGAGGGTCGGCTATCCAGGGGAAATCGGGGGCATACTTGTGACCGGCTTCCTCGCTTCCAAGGATATCATTGACATAAAGGATGTAATCGCTATCCTCATTGTCATACCCGTCATTCTTAACTCCTTTGCTGGGCTTGGTCAATACTCGTCGTGGGTTTCTCGAAGACTCATAGTTGAAGCCAGGGTTGCATATCCGGTACGTGGCCGGGAGGTGGGTTGTCAACGATTGAAGCGGCTGAATCAGTTAGTCAAAGCTAGGGGAGGTTTGCTGAGCACTCACGCTAATGAATCCACCCTCTGGATTGGCGCGCCTATATGCAGGTTGTACATTCATGCGCGGCTTCAGTTCCTGCACAGACTGGATCTTTTGGAACTTGGGCACAGGACCGCGACCGGGCGCTGGAGGGGCCTGAGATGGCAGCGAGCCGGATCGCGGTGATCGCGACCCTGGACCAAAGCCTGGACTCATGTGTGAAGATGCGGATGGTGGGTAGTACTGGTCTGGGCTGAGGTCGCCGGATTGAAGGGGAGGAAGTCTAGGGGCCCGGTTGGCTGCCGACATGTTAGTGAACGGGACATGGCAGAACAAGTAATCGAGATCAAACTCACATGGCGGCGATTGATATCCTTGTGGTGGTGATGCATATTCTGGTTTCGCAGGGGACCGGCGGGAAGCACTTTGGGGACCGGATGGGAATCCATAGGAGCCTTGGGACTTCCCAGGACTGGTGGGATATGACATCGGCGGCGAAAGAACATGCCCCGGAGAGTATCTGCGGGCAGCCGATGATTCTTCTGCCTGATTCAAGAATTGTGACGAGGCGCGATTGTGGTTTGGCCTCGAGGGGTACTTCGCCCGGTTGTACGGGTCAGCGTCCTCCATGGTAGTATCCGCATCGGTGACATAATCCCGAGTACGTGGTGTGGCGGTGGGGGAGGAAGCCATGGAGACGGTTTTGGAATTTGAACCGGTCGAAGGGGCTTTAGATGTCGTGCCGGGAGTCTGGAATGTCTCGTACGTGTATCCGGCGGGCGGCTGTGACTGTGGTGGCTGACCGTATTTCGAGGCTAGCTGCTGGGGATGAGATGCCAACGCAGTATTGAACTGCGCAGGGTGGCTCATCAAAGGATCTTGGTAAGGCTGCCACCCAGGATCCATTTTGTTAAAAACCCTCTTTTGGGGCCAACAAATGGATTCGAGGTCCGTGTTCGTCTCTAGCACTGCGATCAGGGTCCGTGGGATGCCAGCGGGGACGGCACTCGTATTGCGACCGCAGCTTTGAGGCGAACTTTGACGGAATTCGAGGGGCAGAGGATGGAAAATAGGGAATTGGCGTTAAAATGAGGTCGTGCTATGCTTCATCATCTGAGGAATTGTTGGAGAAGACAAGTTTTAAGGGGAGAGGAGGGGGGCGGTCGCAATTTGGTTGCGACGCAGTAGACGTAGGCGGCTGGGGGGTTTAGCCAAGTCGATAGACTTGTCTTGGGACCCGGTGAAAACGACAAATCAAAGACAAAGCTGACATCAACAGAAACTATGTTAAACAGTAACTTAGTTCATCAAAGCATAGTGATAGTTTTACTTGGTATATAACCCGAACTCAGGAAGAGGAGGGGGAAGATGAGTTTCAAGTGGAGGTGAAAGGGTGTTAGCCAAAGTGAATCTACACGGTAATATCATTCTCTTTTCTCTATGTGCCTACTTTTATAGGGGTATCCTATCTTGGACCATATACTCCGTACTATGCATAGATATATGTATGACCTGATGCTAAAGTCTCAATATTTGAGATTCGTACTGGATTGTGGTCTCCTTGGCGACCTGACTCTTTTCGCATGATCGACACATTGCATGCCCAACTGTCGGAGCGCCTTTTCTTTCTCAATAATAACTGGGCTGAACAGAGTTAATACATACATACTTTGTAACATGGACTAAATGAGCTACGGAGTATCTTATTGATGGTATTTTATAGACCATTGCTGCAACGTCATCGATTCCATCCACCTAGTTAGGCCGGAAGTCCAAAACTATGTACCTAGATGATCACTTCGTGGAATGATATGGTAATCTGAAGAGATATATAATCAAGAAAAAGCAATCCTATTCATTCCAACCATCACATCGTTTTGGAGTTCACCTCTTGCTGCTCTTTGCACCGTCCAAGTGAGCAGATCTATATCTACTCTTAGACATGGCCAATGCTTGCTTCAAGGTTGATAATGCGGATTATGTGAGAAATATCTCAATTTATAAGGATATTGATGAAAGACGTGATAGAAAATATGTTTATACCAATATCTATATGAAAACGTGTGACTAGTTGCTCCTTTTGTCTCTTCCTTCACATCTAATTCACTTCAGTTCTCTTATAAGAGATTTGCTCAGTATTCTGCCTCTTCTTTTTTAAACAAAACCTCCAAGCCCATCTAAAATAGTCTCCCATCCTTGTCTCCTTGAGATCGAACACCTTTTTCATGGCGTAGGGTTCCATCCTTATCCTTTGATATTCCGGATCTTTCCTCAATTGCACTAGGATAATTGCAGTCTTCTTACTTTCATATCATATGGATATGAACTATTTTCAAAGGCACGTGTTAATCAGCTAAGCATTCGTTTAATGTGAGCAACCTCAACTCTATTCAGCAATTCGGTATATATAGATATGGATTCTCAAATTATCTTAAAATGCTAGAGGTCCTATGCTGTACTCGCGCTAAGCATTCACCACCACGCATGTTGCTAAATACAACCCCCCAACTTTCGCTAAAGCTCAAATCTACACAATAAACATCATGGAGAGGCTTTGTCTTGAATTTATTAGTTAAGAGTTGGAGTCCAGCAAAACCATTTTCATTCTCATGTCAGTCATCCAAAGTTCCACATATGGTGTTGTTACATGCATAGTCACGTTATGTTCAGCCAGAGCTCGAAAATAATATTTCTGGAATATCTCAGTGAAGCGATTGAAGAAAAATACGCTGCGGGGTCTATCGCTCTGACATAAACATTTACATCCATTCTTAAATGGCCCCTCGATTGTGAAATTCATTGTCACATTGTGATATCCACGAGTGGACCGCCCTGGAACCTGGAATGCTACAGCACAGAGACAGTGAGAGAGCCAAACCTCATGACCATTACTGTGTCCCTATAAACAGGTCACATTTTGATCGACCCTCGGTGAGTTCGTGCAACTCCAGTCTGCCAATGAAACAGAATGGTATATCTGTGGCCTCACACCGTGTATATAGATTTCAAGGTGTACTCCGTACCGAGTCCAGACTCCCAGGGCCCGGACTTCCGGGGGAAATTACCTAAGCTTTCAATGAGTCATTCACTCACGTGAGCGGTGTCATAGGCGGTGGCTGATTGTGCCATAGGCTTTTGATGGAGATCTACTGTTGTAGATTGGGTGCTATTCATCTAGACTCTTATTGCTGCCTGTGCTATCCTCCTATTGTATTTGCTCTTTGAGCAATAACCATGTTCCAACTTGCCCTAGACAGAGTCTTTTAGTCTCCCACTTTTTCTCTCTTAATACAATCTTTATCTGGACAACCTTCACAATGTCTACAAACGAGGAGGCAAGTCGCCTGCGAGACCTCCAAGCAGACGTTCGCGACCAAGATGATCTTGAAAGAGATATCACTCGCCAGGTATGACCAAGTTTTCAATTGTTTATGAACTTGAGCTCACATTCCTCTCTTTTCAGGCCGATAAAGCCCTGGCAGATAAAGCAGAAGAGAATGACATCAAGCGACTTGAGAAAGCCCTTGTGGATCGGGAGTAAGAGCGCATACCCTTACATTTGATGGAATTACTAACTTAGTCCGTAGACGGGTCGATTCGCAGGTCCGCCAAGCGCAGCAGCGCCTGACCCAGCCCGTCGGAGCCGCTACTCGCACTCGGATTGAGAATGAGCTGAAAAGGCTGCAGGCGCGCAAGGCCGATCTAGGGAAAGACCTGAAGGACATACAACAACGCATTGATGATAGGCGTGAGTCGCAGGGCAATTCAGCGGTGGCCCACGGGTCAGGGCGACAGCCGAATGAGTCCCGCCGCGACTATCTCCTGCGAACCGGAAAGATTACTCCGTTCGCATTGATGCAAGAGGGCTCCAGAGACGGACCACTTGCCAATCTTCACGATGCACTTGTCGATACCGAGGACCAGCTGCATGAAGAGGAAGAGCGCGAACAAGCCAAACATCAGCCAGCCGCATCGCATCGGGACCTTGCACGCCCCGACTTTGACTTTGACGACAGCATTGAAATCAAGAGCAAGCGGAGGAAGGTGGATCGTCGTAGCTCCCCGGGAGCGGACTCTTCGGCAAGTTATGTTGCCTCGGAGGCTGACGCTACATCCGAGGATGAAGAGTTCATGCCCGAGACTCTCCCTGAGGCCAAACCGAATCGCAAGCGCAAGCAAGGAAAAGCAACCACTGAGCTTGAAGATCTGAGTGGAGTCGATGATGGAAACGAGACCGTATACCAGTCTCGCGTCCAGGAATGGATTAGTCGGCGAAGCTCTGCTCGACAGCACGCTGGCAGTCATTCTGTCGAAGATGGCCTGAATGAAGAAGAGGAGTGGCTTAAGCCACATCCCACTGAACCAGCCATGGAGCTTGACAATGGACTGCGGGTCCCTGGAGACATCAGCCGCTTCCTATTTCCTTACCAGAAAACTGGAGTGCAGTGGCTTTGGGAGTTGCACCAGCAAACTGTTGGTGGAATCATCGGAGATGAGATGGGGCTGGGTAAAACCATCCAGGCCATTTCTTATCTTGCAGCATTGCATCATAGCAAGAAGCTCACCAAACCTGCTATCATTGTTTGCCCTGCAACTCTTATGAAACAATGGGTTAATGAGTTTCACCGCTGGTGGCCCCCTTTCCGTGTTTCCATCCTACACTCATCAGGCAGTGGAATGATAAATCTTGGCAAGGAAAGCAGTAGGGAAAATGCGCTTTCATCAGAAATGATGGGCAGCCACAGCTCTCGCCACCTATCTGCTGGTCAGAAAGCGGCTAAAAAGATCATCAAGCGTGTCACCGAGGAGGGACATGTCCTCGTGACCACATACTCAGGTCTGCAGTCTTATGCAGATGCTCTCGTTGATGTTGAGTGGGGTTGCGCTATCCTTGACGAAGGTCATAAAATTCGCAATCCAGATGCCGGTATCACCTTCAGCTGCAAGGAACTCCGTACTCCACACCGCATCATTCTTTCGGGGACCCCAATGCAGAACAGTCTGGTGGATCTTTGGTCCCTATTTGACTTTGTATTTCCAATGCGCCTGGGGAATCTCGTTACATTCAAAAATCAGTTTGAGATTCCCATCCGTCAGGGTGGGTATGCATCTGCATCAAACCTTCAAGTGCAAACTGCTGCAAAATGTGCGGAAACCCTCAAGGATGCCATTAGTCCATATCTGCTCCAGCGATTCAAGGCCGATGTAACATCTGATCTGCCGATGAAAAGCGAGCAGGTCATTTTCTGCAAATTGACCCAACTCCAGCGAACCATCTACAAGAGGTTCCTTGGCTCGGATGATATGAAGTCCATTGTACGAGGGAAAAGAAACTCTTTGTTTGGCATTGACATCCTGCGCAAGATCAGCAACCACCCAGACTTGGCAGACCACACATTGCGCGCAAACGAGGCGGACTACGGTGATCCTGAGCGGTCTGGCAAGATGAAGGTTTTGAAGGGTCTGCTTGAGGTCTGGAGAGATACTGGCCACAAGACCCTGCTTTTTACCCAGGGGCGTCTGATGCTAGACATCATTGAGAAATTCCTTGGAATGCTGGGTGGATTCAATTACCGTCGGATGGATGGGACCACTCCGATCAAGGAGCGCCAGAATCTGGTTGACGATTTCAACAATAACCCCGATCTCCACGTTTTCCTACTCACCACCCGTGTGGGCGGGATCGGAGTGAATCTGACAGGTGCCGACCGTGTCATTATCTACGATCCTGACTGGAACCCATCGACTGACTTACAGGCGCGAGAGCGTGCATGGCGTCTGGGCCAAAAACGTGATGTCACCATCTTCCGCTTGATGACCAAAGGTACTATCGAAGAAAAGATCTACCATCGCCAGATCTTTAAGCAATTCTTGACCAATAAAATCACTCGCGATCCCCATCAACGAGAAGGTTTCCAGTTGAGTGATCTTTATGATCTGTTCACTCTGACGGATGAAAATGACGACGAGTTGGAGACGACTAAACTCTTCAAGAACGCCGAAGTCACATATCAGGAGGAGGCTAAAGATGCCCCTGGCAGCAAGAGTAAGCCTGCACCGCCTCCGAAGGAGGAAGACGATATCAACGAAATCCATGGTATTGCCAAGGTCGAAGCCTTCCAAAACACCGCGGAAGAGGAAAAGAATGCCAAAACTTCCGAAGACCGCATTATGCATGGCATCTTCGCTCGTTCCGGCGTCCACTCTGCAGTCGAGCACGACCAGATTGTAAATGGCAAACGAGTCCTTCGCGCAGACCCTAAGATGATCGAAGCCGAAGCTCGCCGGGTCGCCAACGAAGCCGCCGAAGAGCTCCGCAAAGCTGAAGAAACCGCTCGGGCACTCCCAATTGGACTGCCCACCTGGACAGGCCGTTTTGGGATGGGTGGCCGCGAAGATCCACGGGCTGGTGGTAGCTCAGCGCGCCCTTCTGGGGCAGGACCCTCATCCTCAGACCTGTTGGCTAGGCTCAACCCTGCTGCTGCCGCAGCTGCTGGACAGAGAGACAGTGGTTCCGATAGTCCATCAGCCCGTATGCCACGCGGCAAAGATTTCATGCCCTTGATCCGTGATTATCTTGCCTCTCAGCGTGGACCGACTCTGTCCCAGTCCATTGTACATCATTTCAATCATTACTGCTCTAATCCGCAGCGTGTTGCTGAGTTCCAGGAGTCGTTAAAGAAGGTTGCGACACTTCAGCATGGTCGTGACCGTCGGGGTCGGTGGACTCTGAAGCCTGAATTTGCGCGGAATGCCAATAATCGGGGCCGGTGAGGGGAGCTTGTAAAGAAGCAGGTGGACTGAGGGCATTCCCAACGCGGCAGAAATTGAAAAGCCTATATTTCTTCATACCTTGGGGATGTTCATGTACGATAGTGAGTTTCACGAGATGATGAATGACAATGACAATGCCGATACCCTTTATGCAATTGCACAGTCAGAATCATGAAATAAAATAAGTACATTGTACTACATACTCCGTCGTTACCAGGCGATCTCCACTGGGCACATGCTTAAAACGCCCTGTGGGACAGTACCAAGAGCGTCCAACACGCATAGAGGCAAGCTGCCGTTTAACTCAAGCCACATGCGTTCGTATACACTGTCCATGATGTATGCCAAGTATGGAAGAACATGGCCAATATTTCGGTACCTCATATTCCCCGTAACATATCAAAGAAAGGGGCCGGACATTTTAATAATATTTCCGCTAGCCCTCAACTTCAATGTTTTCAGTGGGCCATGTTCTATTTCTGGCGGGATCCCAGTTTATCAATGATGCAAAAAATTATCGAAGCGAGGATGCGCCGAGCCGAATAGGTAAGAGATTGTCGTTTGTACGAAGTAGAGTCGCAACGACCCGATATTCATAAACAAGTCAGACAGGATTCAGGGGGAAGGCTCCACGGGATCTTGGCGTTCGTTGTTTGTCGACTTCTTTTCTTTGGTGGCAAAGGGGGTTTTTGATGTGATTGATGTTTTTCTTTTTGATAATCTCATTTGTGAAACAAATCTCATCTTATATCATTGTGAAACCCAATCCTAGGGGCAAAATCGTGTCATTGATGTCACAAATCCCTGTCTTTGGTGCTTCCATTGATGAATAGAAGACGTACTAGTGGGTATGATCTACATTCGATCACAATCATGACTGGTTCGGATGGTATAGCTAGTCAGGTACCCACTTAGTGACTTCCAGGATGTCGATTATAATCACCATCCGGTGGGTTAGTCCTTTCGTTTACCCCATACACATTCTGATACGGCAGCGTGGATCAAGCGAGATCCTAGATGTCTGCCCAAGGTCACCAGTGCCTTGCATGCTGCAAAGGGAAACAAAGGAAAGAATAATAATACCGACACCGCTAGAGTACAAAATGAAAAGGAAGTTGAAGAACAATCAGCTGACAGTTCTAGCGATGCTTTGCTGATGTCAACTTCTATTTTGATCTCAAGGATACCCTATGGGGGACCGGGATCAGCGTTGGACACTCGAAACAGTCGGCCTTATACTCCACCGTGGAACATGTGTTCATCGACTTGTCTCCCATGGATATCAAAAAGCATATAAATGCGTCACTTCCCCGTCAAAATCTTACCCCTCTCTTAAAAAAAGAAACACAAAAGAAATCGAAACTCTTCAAACCTTTTGAACTTGAATTCCTCCTCAACCAAACTTCTTTATTTACCGCCCAGAATGAAGTTCTTCGCCACCGTCGCTCTCCTAGCCACTGCTGTGGCCGCCGCCCCATCCGCAAAGCTCTTCAACCTGAAGACCTCCGGCGCCAGCAACAGCTCCCACAACGACCTGTTCCTCTCCGTCGGTCACGGCCTGATCAGCGACCCGCTCAACAGCGAAGCCGTCTTCTCCGGTGCCCCGGCCAGCCGCGCCGCCGCCTTCTCCTTCGTCAACGGCACCATCGTCTTGGATACTGAGACTAAGGCCCCCTGGGCTCTGGACCTGATCAACGTGGAAGGTAAGATAGCCCTGTAGTGCTACTGGATGTAACTGTTTCCCAAACACGGAATACTAACCACATTGGTACTATTTAGGCGTCCGCAAGGAGCGTGCTCAGATCAGCATCAACCCTACTCGTGGCTCTAAGGGCTTCTCTATCGGCCGCCAAGGCGTCCAGGGACCCAGTGAGACCTGGGACGGATGGCTGTGTAAGTTCTTACCATACCTCCCTTTTCCAAGGCTACATGATCTTGGTGAGTGCAAATGGCTGACTCCTTTTTCTTAGGGTGCCCCGCCGATATGGAGGCCGGCCAGTTGTTCCCCAACTTGCACTTCCTCAGTAAGACTATTCAGGAGCCTGCTCTGCCCGCTGGATGTGACAAGATTCAGCTCAATGCTGTTCCCAAGAGCTCTGCTTAGAGGGATTTTGGATTTTGAATTTTACATCTTAGCGAACCTTAGATTGTGAGACGTGCTTCTAGTTTCTGTGTTCTCTTCAAGATTTAGAACTTCTACTGGACTTTCATTTCGGCATATCTTAGCGTACAAGTCAGGCTTAATTGATAATATCTTGATTATTCTACTTTATTTGCTTTGGATCGATGCTCCGATATAAAATTTTTCTCACACAAAGAATTCTCATCAGCATCACATCCAGCCTATTCTTTTGCGCCCTATAAGCAACGAAAGAAAATATGTTAGATCCCCACATCCCTCAATATTCTCCGTTCCATGCCTAAATTCCAAATAGTCTTCGGGTGTCCATGACTTATGGTTAGATTGCCACCCCCACGTTTGGGGAACTTATTTAGCGGAACCGAGAGATGCCTGACCTTGGGTACCAGTAGCTGGGTGGCAATAGTAGATATGTACTTCGACTTAGTGGTCATCATTGTATGTGTGACGGTTTATGCCATGGCTGCAGTCATAAATTTGTTCTTGTAGTTACGTGCCGGTCCTTCGTGGTAGAGCCAGCAGAAATATGTCGCTGGGTATTAAGGGCGATACATGGCTTTTCGGTGGTTTTGTTGTGTTGTGTACCTATATTATGTCATTGTTTACCGGCGGTCATCCATCATACTAATCTGTGGATTAGCGTTGGAATGATGGTGGGATATTGGCAAAAGTCAGGGATAAGTGATGAATTGATGATTTAGGGCAAAGAATATTATCCCTAGGATGTTGTTTGAAGTATATGGTTATCACTTAGATTGTCCTCCTGAAACTGTAGTATATATTGCACGGACCCCCTGGGTTTTAGTTTTGATGTGATATATATCACTTGATACCAGTCTGAAGCATAAGCATGAGCTTGACATACCAAGTTATTATAGTCAATAAATCATCTGATAGTCAAAAAGGCGTGAAATAGTGGTCAGCCACTATAAATAGCCGATGTCTCACATACCTGATAGCCATTACCTATTTGGGCTTAGCCCCGCAATACAGCTCAAACATCGCATCTTCTGTTTCTTTCTCGTGGTTTTTTTCCCCCTCTCTAATTATCTGGGAAGACACTCGTTTACTGTTTGCCTTTGAATCTATTCACAATCGTTGCCCCGAATCGAAAATCCACATTCCCGAGATCTGCGTGTTTTAGCTCCCAGATTGGCTAGGGGATTAATAACATCTTCTGCACTCCACGTCCCTGTGATCGTCCTTCCGTAGCAACCGAAATTGCTTGGTACAGACACCAAATCGATAAGCCTGTTTTGACAAAGGAGGCCTTTTTTTTTTTTTTTGACAAGTCACACCCGATTGTGCAAGGGGCGTGATCAGTCTAGCCCACCTTTCAGCCCAGGGAGTAACACCTCGGTCGCTTGATTTTTGAAACTCCAGATAATCTCTCCAAACTTCGACATGCGGTGTTTTATTCTGAGCGTGCTCTGCACCATCCTGTTGCTGGGGACGGTATCCTCGGCTTGGCCATGGGGGCCATATGGAGCAGTTCTGGGTGCCTCCTTGGATAAGCGAGCAGGTAAGTCAAGGCTCTTATCAACTTGTTGTACTTGATACTGACTTGCAATTCAGACACCACAGATACAACAACCGCTGAAACCTCTGAATCTACCACGGTAGCCTCCACTGCCTCCAGGACTTCTACCGGAACCACCACCGGAACAAACACCGACACCAATAGCGACACCCAAACAGGGACTGCAACCGATTCCGGGACGACCGGCACAGCAACTGGCACGAAGACAACGGGAAAAAGCAAGACTACCACTACATCCTCAATCTCCATTGACCCTGCTGCCGCTGCTGGCGGTGTGTCCATGATCACCCCCGCTTCCTCGTCCACGACCTACTACAAGATCGGCGAGGACGTGACATTCGTGTGGAACTACACCTCCTTGTCGGTTACACCATCTGCAGTCAACGTCGTGGCTTCGTGCAGTCTCAACTCGATGACATATACGCTCAGCTCCAACATGAGCGTGAAGCAAACCGGAAGCGTCGTGTGGGATACTGGAAAGTACCAGAAATCGGCTACCATTCCGTTGCTTACCGCATCGTATACTCTGATCGTCTACGATGCTAGCAAGGAAATCGATGATACCGCGAGCGCAGGATACCTGAGCTCGCAGAACGGTGGTTACGTCTTCGGGATGTACACCCCCCAGCCTTACACCCCACTCAATCGTGAGTATTTAAACCAACCATCCTTTCTCAAGTAGACTGCTAACCTTTGTCCAGAATTCAAGTGTGCCACCTGCAGTGGCGCCCTGTCCGAAACCAGTCGCTTGGCCATCAAATTTACCGTCGGCATGGCCGTGATCACCTTCGCTTCGTTCACTTGGTTTGCGGGCAGTGCTGGCGTCCTGGCCACTTGAAAAGCATCCACTCGGTGGACTCGCATTGACTTATCATGAACATATTTTTCCATTTTGGGGCGTTGCATTGTTCAAGCGATCTGGATTTACGATAATAGCAAGAAAACGGCGTTGCGCGATACTTTTTATTTATATTTGTATACTTTTTGCACTTCATCCTTTCCCTTATCTATTGGTTTTATAATAATACGCGGTGATGGTCAATCGCTGGTTTCAAAATTCTTTTTGTATTTTCGGCTTTTGCATACACAACAAATCCCTCGATCTCTTTAATTCCAGATTTCTCGCAGTTTCCAATCCTCCATGGCACCGCGAGACTCTCATCCAGGCCTTCCTTATCCTCCCTTCTGCTTGGTTATAAGCATGACATTCTCATTGTACATGAACGGCATGGTTTGCAGTGAATTCAGTCGCTGGTGCTGGAAACCATTTTGTGGGTTGAGGTTGCCCGACTGGTTGCCAGGGTTTTGCTAGGATGAGGGTATTACTTATTGCGGTTCAAGTTCAAGATGAAAGCAACAAGTCAGGATTATCGTTTGCGTCCTTGTCGTGCATTGCTTAGTCGTTATCTGTATGATCTAGCAACTGCAATTCCATCATTGGATGCCTAAAGGACGTCCACAAGGGTTTACCTGACTACATGGGTGTTTATATGATAATCAAAGGATCAAAAACATGTGTACTTTTTTGCTGATCGTCTGAACTAAAATATACTATGCACGAAGCCGTCATATTCCCTTCATTGTTAGTTTTGAGGCATTTAGGTCCGCTTCCCATGCAATTGTTTCGGTTATTGCGCAAAGACAAACAAAAGGAAGCTTAGTGTATTATTACAATTGGAAATTGGAGTCTGTCTTAGAGATAAAGAAAGCTGCGGGAAGCTATTCAAGCAGTTCATTCATTGACTGAGACTTTAGACCATGGAGTATAACAGAAGCTATTTAATCTCCTTCTACCTCTTCTCCAATCCATGAGATACATCCCAATCTACTTCATCTTAACATCAACCCCAAACCTACCACCAGAAGAAAACCCAGACCCAGAAAGGACCATGCCCTCCCAATTAGGTTGGATCTGGCCCAAAGACCCACGCCCCGGCAACCCACAACACTGGCCACGCCGCTGGCGCATCTTTGATGTCCTAACGAGCAAAGGGCCAGATATCTACGTGGGCCGAATCGACCAGCCCAAACCCAAGACCAGAAGGGCATTCCCTCAAGCCCGGTCGGGACCTACAAGAGAAGAATGGTCTCGATGGGAGCTCGACCCCAACGACCCTGAATCGGACTACAGCCCACTACCCTGGGCACGGCGGCCTGCGGGGGAGCGCTATGATTTCCGCACGAGGAAGTACCACGTTCCGGACCATGGAACATGGAGTGCTGTTCAGTATTGTAATGGGAGAAGGGCTCGGAGGGGGGAATGGAGTGGGAGAGAGGAGGTGCATTGTGTACCGAGGCGATATTGGGATCGGAATGGGGTTGAGTACCCTGCGGAATTTTGGCATGATAATATTTATGGCAAGCACCGGGATTGAAGGGAATACACAAGTTGGAAAAATGTGTAGGAAAGAAAAGGAAATAAATGAATATGGGGTGATGGGAGGGTAATTTGCATGATATTGTGTTTGTTAAATCCAAGTAGTTCGCTTGAATGCTTCCAATAACTTTTTTCTCTCAAAAACCAAGATGAGATGGATATAGCCCAATGCGCCGATGTTCTTCCAAAATTCCACTTTAAATTCCAAGAATGTGTTAGGCTGATATAGGGAGAGAGTCCAATCAGACGCATCCAGAGTGCAATGCGTCGAAGGTGTATACACGTGCTGGTCCATTAACAGACTGTTGATTCGCCTGAGGGCGGCGGAGAGTTGGCAGTTGAGCGCCATTATCAGTCAGACGATTGCACTTCACGCATGGTGTCTGTTTGATATCTGCGTAAGAGGAGATCATGTCCTGCATCGGTATTAGCAAGTAGCTCCTTAGGAGTCAAGAACAGAACATACCAGCAAGAAAGCAAGGTCCCATTTCCGTGGGCGTGACCCCACACATCCTAGTATAGCATCCTCAAGTTTTGTGGGTGACCGACCAGCGATCTTGCTTGAAACCTCCCAGTCAGAGATCAGGGAGCCAGGGGAAGATACTCCTTTCACCTGGAAGACGACACCAGCTCTAACAAGTGCTACCGCTAGAGAAGTCTCATCCTGACCCTTGATAACTCTTACACCGGGCATATCCCGCTGAACAAATCGCTCCAAAACATTCTTCCACTCGCCCTCAGTAGACTGCGCTTTAGTACGTTCAGCCTCTTCGTCCACTCGCTGATTTTCATCTATTTTGGACTTTTCGTTTCGTACTAGTTCTTCTAGAAGAACGTCATAATCTCTGTCCCACTTCCCCGTCGGCTGAAGAAGCTGACCGTTGGCTTCCTGGATGCGGTTTTCGACATGTGTCCATACAGAAGTCAATTCCGGATCCCGCCACAAGGCCTGGAATTGCTGGACATCAGCGACGCGTGCGCGTGCGGCCTCATCCAGACTAGCCCGGAGAATCCGTGGAGTCTCAGCGATTGGATTGCCGAGGGATA